AAGCAAAAAGAAATGGGCAGTTAGAGGACCGTCCACAAGAACACACCCGCAAGAGATCATAATCAAAGTGACGTCGTCAAAGGCATAGTATGCAGGGGGGGGCGTGTATAAGAGAGGGGGGGGGGGGCGCCAGGAATAACGGAGACCGAAATACGCCGCGTGCCCGACGAGGTCTCGTATCCGCGCCACCACACCACGCGGTTACAAACACACGCACAGTCCGCCCAGCCCGAGTGTCAACGGCCGACGGTCGGCCGATGGTCGGCCGCGCCCCGTCGGCAACCGACCCAACCCTTCATACACTGCTGCAGCCGCTCCGCCCCGCTCCGCCCTTCCCCAACAACCCCCGCCGCCCCCTCCAGCGAACAGCGCCGCCCCCGGCTGGCGCGCGCCACGCCCCGCATGACTCGGGCCACCCCCAACATTGCGTGCAGTGCAGCGAGCAGCGAGCCATCCCCGCCCTCCACCCTCCGCGCAGCCCTCCGCACGGCCCTCCACACGGCGACCGTCGGCGGGGTTTCGAACAAAACGCGACCCTCCCCATAGCCACGCCCCGCCGAGTACGGCCGCGGCGGCACTGCAGGCCGCTGGCGGAGTTCTGCTGTCCGTTTCCTTCACCGCGACCCACCGCGAACCATCGTAAAAGAAGCACCCGTGAGTTGAGTATTACCTTCCCCCCTGCCCCCACCCTTATACCTGGGTATATATCAAGCGCGAAGAAGGATTCAAACACAGATTAAACACATTCAGTACACCCCCCCCTTCCCTCCTATTTCAAAACACACCAGTAGTTTCAAAACAAAAACCTAATAGCAATCATGATGTTAGTTCCGCACACTTGGCGATTTTAACCCCCCACCCCCACCTCGCCTTCGCCCTCACGGTGGTGGTGGCAGGGGAATGCAGTCAGAAGTCAGTGAACCAAACCACCACCACCACCTCCCCGAGCACGACACGGCACGCGCGCGTGGGCGTGGCGGACCGACATCAACGAACGGCGACCGACAAGCGTGTGTTCTATTCGTGCACCGGGATGAAAGCTCGACAGGAGTGCAGCGGTGGGGGCGGGGCGGGGCGGGGCACGGGTGCCGGTGGGGCGGTGATATCCAGTCTGTGAGGAGGACATTCCAAGGCGAGGCAAGGTGAAAACATTGCGCTGCTACAAAAACACGATGCACAAGGCACGTGCCACGCCTTTTAGCTCCACGCGACGTTATGTACTTTTGTGTTCTATAACAGTACAAAGTACAAAGCTTGTGCGACACACACACTCTTTCAATGGTAAAGCGTGTGAAAGCAAGTTTGTCCACAACCAGCTCAGCTCCAGAGACGCCACCGTCTAAAGGGCAGACAATAAGTAAAAGCATCGCAGGTCGCAGGCAGGTCTCTTGAGGTCCCCGAAGGTCCCGGGCTCGAGCCCGCGCGCACTGGCTGCACGGCTAAAGCGGAGAAGCGGCCAGGGCAGGGGGGCACGTCCGCGCACCACATATATTATTTTTGTTTCGTCTTCGTCAAAGTGGCATGCGGTGCAAATTCGCCATTTGTTTTCATCGCAAAGGTTAAAACAGCCATTTTTGAAATGTTTTCGGTTGTTTGGCGCACAGACAGCCCCCCGCGCCCGACGCACATGGCACACGTGGCGAACGGCAGACTCGGCCTCGGGTCAGTTGCCTTACCATCCTGCTGTCGGAGGTGCTCAGTCTCCGCTGAGAGCGACAGTGAGTGTTAGCCAGAGCAGAACAGAGAACAGAGTTAGTAAACAGACGAACAGACAACAACAACAACACCTGAAAACACCATCAGCAACATTATGACAACCAGTGCGCTCGCAAGTGACACTGTGGGAAAATGGCGCGAACAGGGTTGTTCCAGGGTTTTCAAATTACTTTCTCATGATTTCCCTGACAAGAATTGTTTGTGTCCCTTTGACTTTTTAGACTTGTCAGAACCCTGGTGAACAACGCCACGCCGCGCCGCGCCGCACCACGCCACGCCGACGCGGCGCGGAGGGATGTGAGAGCGAGATGAGAACGAGTCGGTGAGGCGTGTAAAAGCCGGGAGAGTCGATTGCGATGGGATGAAATAAGCCTGGTCGAGAGGAAGCGTAGGGCGGGGCTGTCAGAGAGGGGAGGGGGGCGAGAGCCAAATAGGCGCGCGTCGAGAGTCGATCACGGCAATCTGCGATTGCGATAGCGCTCGTTAGACCAGACCACTGAGCTATCGCTTCCCAGGCATAGCCTATAGCCGTCTAGCCGTCATATTTCAATGGCAAATAATCAGCATCTTGCGTCGAGAAGGCCGCGGGCTAGGCAAGCTGCGTGTATCGCGTCCCTTTGGTCTATTCGGGTCTAGCCCTCGAGCCCACGAGAAGCTATCGGCCTGGTCCTGGTCGCGAGCGACTCTCGCATGAAGCCCGCCCGAGGCCACGTCCGCCTCTATACCTTCCCTCCCGCCCAAATCCTCCCCCACGTCCACCCTGCGCCAAACCGGCGCGCGGAGATGACCTTGAGGGAGAAAGGGGGTGGTAAAAGTGGAGGAAGTAGGGGGGGGGGATTTGGGGAGGGGGGAGGCGTCAGCCGTCCCATAGGCCAGCCTGCAACGCGACAAACCACAAAGAATGACCAACGAAGTAAACAAGAGAGGGGGGGGGGGGCGTCGTAAAAAAAGAGAAAAAAATTGGACTGAGATAAGGATATGCGCGAAATGCCAACTCACCCCCCCCCTCTCCCTCTCCAAGTCCCGTGTCGAGGGTAGGTTTCGCGTGGCGCCTGACCTTGACCCAGTGCAGGTTCCTCCACCCCCTCGCCGGGGCGGGACCCCCCTGGCAACAAGGCTTGGCAGCGCAGGGAGGGTTGGGAGCGACACTTTCACTTATTTGTGTGTTGTAGTATAGTACTTGGGAATAAATCCTTCCTCAGGGCCTCGTTTGAGGAATATAATTAATGCCACCAACGGACACAGGAGGCGACGTCCCCTCTTTTCCTCATTTGCTTACTGCAGAGGTCGCCCCCGTTTTGACCCGGTGGTCGGCACGAGACAACAGTGCAGAGAGCCGCCCGCGACCTTGTGCGGGATGATAGAGAATGATGGCATAATGAGAAAGGAAGCGAGCCAAA